AAGTTCTGACTTTAATTACAAATCTGTTGTATGGTTTAGAATTTCTCAGGTTATAGAAGATAAGGTTTATCAGAAGTTCTGACTTTAATTACAAATCTGTTGTATGGTTTAGAACTACTCAGGTTATAGAAGATAAAGTTTATCAAAAGTTATTGTGTATTTTTCATTATAATAAATGAGTTTTTTTTCTCAATAGGTGTTTGATTTGCGACAGTGCCACCGACAGATGCAGCAACAGGCAGCTACGGCCCAAGCAGCGGCAGCAGCGCAAGCAGCAGCAGTGGCGGGTCACATTCCTGGTCCGGCAGCAGTAGGAGGTATTGCCCCAGCCATTAGTGAGTTTTTCAGGATTGTTTTTTATGCACACACTTTCCCTTACCCACCTGCTTGTACTTGTATAACAACCAACTAAAAATTCCCGAGAAGGAATTTTAATATTTCACTTCAACCTGTAACTTAGCTTACTAACTCTAAGCTCTCACTTATATTTCTTGAAACATGGCTTCTGTTTGGCTTTATTATCATGAGTCTTGTGGCAGACTACTGCTCTGTCCAAAAGGAGGAATATTATGTGTTTTTGTCTCTGCTTGATGAGATACCAAAGTTACACTTTGGTGTCAAACAGTAGGTAAAGGGAAAGGTTATAAGTGTGTTGCTGAAAGACTTGAATGTACTCTTGCTAATGACTAATGGCTTCTACTTTTTACTTCCTGTTTTTTATTCAAAATGTGATTATTGTTTTTTGTTTTATTATGATACTAAGAGTAACTTACATGTTCAGCCTACTTGATTAATCTCATGACTTTGTTTGTGTATTAGTAAGCTCTTTTTTATAAAGAGGCTGTGTTTATCATTGGTCCTGCTAAGATCTTAAAATAATTTGAAGTGGTGATTATGTCACACTCACTAAGGGCATGTTCAAGTACACTTGATCTAATTGTGGATTTCAAATATTCATGTTCTTTTGCATGTATTAACAGTTTTGTTTTAGTGGACCTAATATAGTCTTGCTGACAGCAGGGACAATTAAATTTGTAAACTACATTTGATAACTAACACTAGAATATGGTCCTTAGATCTAAAAAAATTATAGGCGACAGTTAGGTTTAAAATCATATCTCAACTATATTAAGGATGTACGCCATAAATTACTTTTATTAAGCCTTTTTGCCCCGGATAGGTTAAAGTGCACATGTCACGACATCTTGGACCGTTATTTTCAAAATTTTATTGAATAATATTTTTACTACTTATGTTAATGAGATTGGCATCAAAACGGAATCTGTAATTTAACACTTTCAATATGTGCTCGGTCAATTTGACCGACCACGTGACCTTTTTCTTGTTTAAAATCTTTATAGATTTAATACTTATAACTCTCAATATAGTGGGTATATCTTCACGAAATTTGTCAGTCTTTCAGTTAATATTACAAGTCTTTCACATACAAAAACTTCTATTTCTTAGTGAAGTATTTTTAATAAAATAAAGATCTCTCCATGAATATGTTGAGTATTTGTTTTGAATAGTCTGTGTGCAAAGTAATTTTTATTTTAAAATAAAAAATACTTTTCCTCATCTCAGATTTCCTTTGTGTAGTTCCTAAAACCTCCTAAATGCAATTCAAACGTTTTTTTTCACTAAAACTTTATAGTTTATCTGTTATTTTCTCTACCCTATCTCAAAACGGGATCAGTGAATTTGACCGACCTCATAACCACAAAAAAAAAATCAAAATAAACCTAAATTAAACTTTTTTCTTTCTAGAATGACTTTAAATTGTAACGTGAAACTACTATCATTTATCCTAAGTAGCTCGTAACAGTATACATCTATCTATAATTAGATTTTATTGTTTTATTGCCCTTTGAGCCATGTCTAACTAATATCAAATTTACATTACCCACGAGCTGCTCGCATGTGTCTCATGAACCATTTTAATTATATTATTATTATTTATTTTACCTAATCTAGTCT